AGACTACCGAAGTCACACATCCGCATTTATCGAGAAGATGATTCTGGAAACACTTTTCTTCGCAAATCTACAGATGAAAGTACAGTTCAATTATTTCCGATTCACCGCAGGCGTGTTCTCCAAATTCAATATATTAAATGATAAAATCGACCGCGATAAACGCCTTTCAAAAGGAAGCTGCCTTCATTCGTTTTTTCCCGAGTGCATAATGATTGTCCAATGCCGAAGATAGTTGTCAGAGACGTTCATTCCAAGCATTATTAAATCAAGACACTGCGGCGAGGCGTAACAGGGAGCACGTCTGTTTCCAGTGATAGGAGCATTTGCGGAGTTGCAAGTGCGAATGTTATGTTTCATTTTTAAATATATGTTCCTGTATTTAAATTACTCCCTCTTAGGAGGTTTTCACTAGTAGGGAACAGATATATATTTGTCTATGAAAAATTTGGTTTGACCGTTATTATACTGGGCTTTATTTTTTCATCTTCGCCAGCCAAGATTCGTTTATTCGGCCATCGCCTCACAAAGAAGCAATACTATGAAATACGACCACCATGAAACGCGGCGTCGTAATAAGTACTCGTGAGCATGGTGTAAGCTATATGCTCTCAGTAATATAATATGAACGTCACATGTATGAAAACATATAACAACTGTACGGTATGTCTCTGGGGTAAGAACTGGGAACTAATATGATAAGACTCTAGGATTTAAAACAATGATTTTAATATTTTGCCTTGATCGATCCAAGCTTGAGGCGGAAGCTTCGAACCAGGGGTCGTGCCGTACGTCGAACAAGGGAACGCGTGGAATCGACTGCGGTATTGTAACCGAACAAGTGATAGTCTACATAAATAGTTCGACCAGCTTTATTTTTTGATCAGTACAAGGCCACATACCTAAAACAATCCTGGCAAGGGGAAACTGTTGAAAAGACGCAAAAAACAAAATGATTGGGCGATTTTACGCGATCGTCAACACATACAACGCTACATTATATTTATGACCAGTTGTCACATGTTACGCCAACTCTGATTGGCGAATACTTTAGAGGCGCCTCCAATAAGGTCTATGCCTGTTAACGAGGTAAAATACGTGACTTCTCGGTTGAATCCCGCACTTATTCGTCGGGGAGTATGTTTACATCGAGCAGAAGAAACCGCGCGATTAGGACGTTGTATTTTTTTAACAGAATTGTAGTCTGCACGTTGATTGTGACGTCAGAGATTCAAATTGTGCATATCGAATTAGTCATTGTAAGAGCATATTCACTACACGCTATTTCAAGATGTATTTCAGTTTCCGAATCGCGCGGTTTTATGGTGCCGACTTATTGCGGAAGCCGCCAACTCGTGCGGGATCACCTTGGGTAAACGCTTATTTTAACTTATGGCCAAGTTTGATTGGATGCGCCTGTTGGAAAGCCATCCAATCAGACGCTGTGTAACATTGTGCGGTAAGCTAAAGAAAAACATGTCGGAAATCGCGACGTGTAGCATGCATGGTAACTTCAACACTTTTCTAGTAACCGTGAGTGTAGGAGTGTGTTTATATTGTTTGCCAAACCCCCAAAACGGGCGATGCATTTTTTCAATCCAGTTTTCCACAACTTTTATGCCAACGTTGCAAGCTGTTTGTGGCATACTTCGTCAGCAAAGTGACAAATATTTATGTGGACCATGTTTTGAAACTGTCAACTCTGAAAGAAAATATTAGAAACTCTACTCGACTGATCTTTCATTCAACTGTTACACACTTTTCGTGATTTGCCACTCCCTGTCAACAAACTCATCTTTTTCCAGGTAGTAATGCCTCAATTGTATTATTGTTTTGGTGATAGAAGAGACTTTTGATTTTGCAAAACTGCGTGATCTGCGTGATATTGGAATTACAGATTGGTATATAGACGTTTGTTCTGGCGAAAAAACGCAGTATTATAGGCAATACAAAACAAATTTTGGAACTGAAAACTATGTGTCATTGCCACAATTAAAATTGCACAGAGCAATAGCAAGACTAAGATGTGCGTGCCATCCCTTAGAAATACAAAGAGGCAGACATAATAATATCCCCAGGGAAGGCCGTATTTGTCATTTGTGCCTGCAAGAAATTGATGATGAATATCATTTTGTTACTAAAATGCACTGCATGGGACACAATCAGGAAAAAGTATCTCCCAAATGAGACACAACCCCCAAATTTGAATACTCTAGTACAACTACTAAGTTTCTCTAAAAGCCAAATCATTAACTCGTTAGCTCTATTTATAAGTGTTTTTTAATCAAAGATCAAATGAGAATAACCTAATAAGCTTGTATGTATATACATATTAATATCGCCATCACATTATATAGTGCTTATATTATCTATTGACACCCTCTTCATCTATATTTTCATACATATTTTGTAATATAAATTTATTTCTTGTCAATAATTAATTTGTATGATTGTAAGATACAATTAATAAATTATATATTATTATGTGATCTGTTCTGCTTGGGTCGCCATAAAAAAAAACCGCTCTACTGTACAAGATAGCTGATTAGCTGTTTATTGTTGTCGCATCTCCCCCTCTTTGTCGTTAAGACGCCTATTAAATACACACTGTCGTGGTTCAATCTGCCAAGGATTTTGTATTTGCACTGTGCGTCTACTCGTGGTCGCGAGGCGCGTATACTGTTTTCAAGTTTGAATCTCGTGTTTCATGTTTTACATGTTTGTATCTGTACCGTAATTTGGTCTAGCGAGTTCAAGCATTGTCACGTGCCATGATTTGAGTTTTCTGGAGTGCGTTCGCGTCCTCGCCTCGGGTGACCCGCGGTGCTTCGCGCCTGCCCAGTGACGTAACAACTGGGGCGACTCGGAAAGTGTTTACCGCCCCTGCTTGCAGAGCCGGGGAAGTTTGGGAAACAGATAGGGAACCACGAAATCGATACGTAAATAGGTGTTTTGGTAATTTTCTCAAACATAAAATGCAACTGGGCGCGATTTAAAAACTAAATTTTATACATTTTACACGGATTTTGCTCGCATAGCAACGAACCACTACGATCACGTGATACTACTTCTCCAGACTTACGTTCGTGTAATCTACTTCCTCGAGGAACCCTTTCGTTGCCACGGGTCACTACTGCCATCGTCACTTGGGGCACTCCGAGGCAGCGACGCGAACGCACTCCTGACACACGTCGTAGTGCAGAATCATATATTAAAGGGCGGCAGTCGTCTTGCCGCGTCCTGTTCGATATGGGACGCATAGCGACGTATACAACGCGTGTAAAATACATTATTTATTTACATGAAATTCCAACACGCGCTGCGCGACGACCAACGCGCTTTAACATATTTTTTGTTGCACGTGCTTCAGACAAGGGGCTACACTGAAGCAGATTTGCGCTTGTTGTGTATACAACAGTCAAGCGGGTCTATGTTTTCTGAAA